TGCAAGGCAAAGCCAGCTCCCTGCATTGCAGTGTACCTAGTTCCCCTTCTACCTTGGATCTATAAAAATAGCCATATTATAATAAAGCAAAGGTCCAGCTCACTGTCCAGTCTTCAATAGCCATAGCAGTGCCCTCCTCCAAAATGCACTAAATTAGGGCAGAGTACAAGCAATCATCTCCTCCCTTCTTATACCTTCTCCAATTGTTAAAGATTTTTTAATCCTGAAGTTGTGTCCAGACCATCACTTTTAATATGGAATTATCTATCCTTCATTGATTTTTCAATCCATTTAGGCTTTTGTTATGCATAATACCCTTTGGCAATGGGTTTCACAAGGTAACTTGCTTGACGGAGTGCCCCCTCTGCATGTTTCAAGTCTATTCAGTTAACAGAAAACAAAGTATTATCAAGAATCACTCGCTATTCCCTTTCCCCACCCCATTCCTGATGGTAAAACATCTGCAATTCTTGGGCTCAGTCATCTCCTCTCTGTGGTCCAGAGGGAAATCCGCCTGACGTGAGACTGCTTTGATGGCCTTCCCTGGGCTTCCCTGGGCCTACTCTAACCCCGAGAGCTGCGAATTAGAACTGCAGTGTTTAAGGTATTGGCACACCAGAAACTTACACAGCAGCACAGATTTTTTCTGTTTGTTTTACCAGCTTGGGTAAACATCCAGAATGCGTGCTGATCACCCAGGGAATGCAGCATTTTCTCCCAGTTGGGTCACAGTCTCTGCAGGAATTTCTGGGGATTGTCTGTTCACAGACAAAGCCTGTGCCCAGGCGGTACCTGCAGCAGTCCCAGCAGCTCAGATGGGAGAGGGCAGCACAGACACCACAAAACCAGCTTCAACAGAGCACGTTCTGTCCCAGGCCAAGACATAAAGCATGTTCTATAGGAGCAACATAGAGTGAGCCCACTATATGCAACTCTGCAGCACATAGAGGAAGAACCAGCCTTAGGAACACATCTCCCTGAACACTCTCCTTCGTTTTGTCCTTCCTCAGGTCTCTTGCTCTTACATTTATTTCTTTGCTGTTTAAATAGAAATCTATGTATTTTCTTCATTTGGTTCCAAAGACAGACTTTCTGTGCCCAGGTCCTCCCCTGACTTTGCCTCTATTGACCTTACGCAAAACTCTGCAGCAAACCTTGCTGTGTTTATAGAGACAACAATAACAACACCCCAAAAGCATTACTTGCTGGTCTTGCTAATTGAAGTTCGCCGTTGGTGCCACTTGGACGAGTGAAGGTAACCTTAACTCACGGCAGAAACCCCCTCCTTTCCTGTCCAACAGCAAGAGAGGCCGCCCGGCCGGCCCCTGGCCTGCGCTGGGCAGAGCACGAGCGGCCGAGGCAGAAACACCCTCCTGCTCCGGGGAGATAACTGGGTCCCTGCTCCTGCCTCTCCTCCCCAGTGCCGAAGCCTTCCTTTGCTCCAGACAAGTCACGTGAGGCACCAGGGCTGTCCCTCTTTCTCGAACCTTGCAGCTCTCGGCTCCCTGCCGTTTCCCCAGTCCAATCCACCGGCCCCAGCAGCTCGCGGTGCCCAAAGCTCACGGCGTCACTCGTGCAGCCAGTGAGAATCCCCCAGACAGGGAAGCTGAGGATACACGGATCCCCCCAGCAGGCAGGGAAAAATATTCCTATTTTTAAAACCATATTGACAAACTACACAAGCTTCCTCGAGCTCATCGCAGCAAGTGCCCTGGTCTTCAGAAGTTTCCCAGGCCTCTGCATATTAACACGGTGACTCTCCTGCAGGGATCTGCCTGGCTTGGCACCAGGATGCACAAGTCACTCCTTGCCTCAGTCATCACAAATCCCAAGAGCTGGGCTCCACCAAAGATACAGGCTCCACAGAATTGCTTGGCTTATCTCCCTGCTCTTAGCTCAACTAACACATCTCCAAAAGCCATTAAAATTAGAGATATATATAGTTGCCAATCCAAATCCTGTGAATGTGCAGTTTAAAAAAAAAAGTAGCTTAAGACAGTTTAACAAAGTAATAGCACAGACACCTTTTACTTCCATAGCTAAAAACCTCTCTGGCTGATCAAACTAGTGCAATGACCTTTGCACATGGACATGACTGCTGCTGCCTACAAGCACGAGGTAGCACACAAAGCTGGGTGAGCAACGCAAGGCAGGTCAGCAAGCTGGAAGCTGAATGTTCCTTCTGGATATCTCATTTTCTTTATGTTCTCCATACAGTGCCTGCAAAAATAATTCAGCTAAACTGCGTGCTTTAGGCAGGGTGGTGAAAAGAATCCCTCTCCTCTGTTTGAAGTGAAGTAACATGGGGCAGGACATCATCTTTACTCAGTGGGATGAGAAATTCCAGCAGATCCCCTATGGGGTTCTGGCACAGAGACAATTCAGAGTCAGCCAGAGACCCGGTCGCACCCAGCACCATTACTTTCCGAGAATGGAATGAGAGAAAACTGCACTCCGATTCTGCACACATTTGCTCCAAATGTGTCACCTCCATTTTTTCCTCTTTTGAAAACTCTCATACACAAACATATATAAAAATAATTTCAGGTATTTTTTCTGAAACCCCCTCTGTGAATCGACTAGATGGCTTCCCAAGTAAAGACACTTGCCCACCGACGAGGGAGCAGGACCAGCTAGCAGACTGAATACACCAAACATTGACAAGGAGCAGAAGAACTGTGCTGGAAAGCAGTCTGCAAGAAGTGCCTCAAACAAGAGAGTGGCCTCTGCTCACAGCAGCCCAGCAGGGAGGAAACGGAGTCTCCGGGCCAGGTATCCGCCGCGCTCCCGCAGGCAAGCGCAAGTGGACAAGGAAGCAGTTTGCGGCTCCTGCCTCACACTGGACTCCTGTCCAGGCCTCGAGCTGCAAAAACTCAGCGCCTTCTGCTTGCTCACATCTCCTTCCTTTGGTCAGTAATTGAGGACAGGTTACTTGGCTTTAGCGTGAGCCGAGAGCATGCATTTCCTCTTAAAAACATCTAGCTCCAGCTCAACTGGTTTGGGACAAGATTTGGCCGAGCAGAGGAGGATGCCCTCTGCAAGATGTCCTGGCCTCGTGTGGGCGAAATTTTCCCAGCATGGACAGAACTTCAACTGTTGATAATGTTACCACAGAAAACGCTCTTTAGCTCAGTTCTGTTAATACAATCCTCTGCACTTCATCCTTAATGAAGTACAGGATTTCCAGCACTTAATATCCTCAGTGTTTATCCCGTTGTTCTGAATGCAGGACCATTACTGGTGAGAACCAGCTTCCCACAGAAGGGGTCTTCTAAGGCATAGAAAGGGACAATGGCCGTGGTGAGAACCAGCTTCCCACAGAAGGGAACAGGCTCTTCTAAGGCACAGAAAGAGACAATGGGCAAACACAGTTTGCAGTTGGAGAAGAGCACTTATCTAGGACCTTTCTGTAAAGCCACCTTCTCCGCGCTTGTTTTAACTGTATAAAGGAATCAAATACTTTCACATATATAGAACGTAACTGCAGAGATTTGCCATCTGAAACAGCTCTATGTTGCTCTTTGCCACATCTACTACCAGCAAATGAACATTTCTCACACGGTCACGCAGGGGAGATGGCACTGGGCAAAGCTCAGGGTGTAGCCAAGCTGACTCTTCAGCTACAGCCTTAAACACCACAATGCTGGAAGCCTTGGAGATACTTCACAGAGGTTTCACGACATGCATTTTTTTCTTCAAACAAATGCTTGTAAGGCTTTCCAGCAAGCTGATAATTTTCCTGCTGTACTAAATTTCTTTCCCTGCTTTACCTATGTGGGGGAAATTTATTGGTAAATTAACATTTGCACATCATATTTCTTCGTGCTTGGAAAAAAGTCAAGTGGAGAGGTGAAGAAACTTGCCCCAAAGTCACAAGAGCAGCTGCAGAGCTGAAGAGAGACCCCCTCCTCCCCAGCCCGGCTCCCTTCACTCTTTGCCATTTTGCAACCGAACAAAAGCATAGCCACCAGGCAGCGAGATAAATCACAAACCTGCCCAGCAATCTGCCTTCAACCCCTTGAGCTAAAGCTGCTTCTTGCAGTCAGCAGCAGAATGGCATCCATCTCCCCTCGGAGGCAAGAGCCGCCGCGTGCACCAGGGACCCTGCATCTATCCGTGGGGTTAGGCAGAAGGGGTATCCAAGGTACCTATCATGGCAGCATCTCAATGCAAGTATCAGAGCACTTTGCAGACAAAAAGGTCTTTCCCCCAGGCTGTTTAAAATTTGCATGTTCCTGTGTAGCACTGAAGACAGCAGCAATGGTGATTCATTAAGATAATGATTTAAGTAGGAGGCTTAAGAAAGTCAGGGTGGATTAACATCCAGAGGGCTGCAGCCAGAGCTGGAGCTCCGCTCCAGCCGTCACCTTCCCTTTTAAGAGAAGGGAAGAATTCCAAAAGTCAGGAGAAATATGAACTAACAGCAACTATATCAAATAAACGATATTACGTAAAACACAAGAACACTGTCTCAACAAGGTCAAGCACAGAATTTCACATTACAGGAAAAAAATTTCTTTGGAGCTATAAACTAGTGGCTTTTCCTAGTTTTTATATGGTTTGTTAGCATAGGCTCTTCCAAACAAGATTGTGTAATTAAACAATAAAATGAAATAAGTTTTTCTTCACCTTACAAACCATAAAACACGGCCAGGCAGTTGTCTTTTCCTGCTACTAGGTAATCAGGTGGATTTGGCAAATTGATTGTCCTCATGATACAGTAAATATACACCTAAAAAAGGGTGCTCGGGCTTTCCACACCCCAGCACTGAACCCAATCGCTGCCAGTTCCAAGTTAACAGACACTCACTGTCCACAGCACAGGGTCAGTGCTCAGACAGTAGCAGCCACCTAAGACTTCATGGCCGCTGAGAGAGGCCTTTGTACCATGAGTTTGGTTCAAACTTTCTGTTGAATTCTCGAGAAACGCACAGACTTGGCGGGTCTGCTCGCTCGCGATACCTGCAATAGGGCATCCCAGTGCGTTCTGCCCCACTCACCGCTAGCTGGGCTTGCTCTGAGCGTCTTCTAGGCACTCTATCCCATGCTGATTCAGTACAGAATAGCTTCCTAGAATGCAATTATAGAAAGAGTAAGGGTTTGTCTGAAAAAGGGGTTATTCCAGAACAGCTATTCCTAACTATTCCGAATCACCTCTTTGTTAGGATCCCAAAGTGGATCCTTCCACTCAAATTTGTAACTTACGTTGGTCCAAATCAATGGCCCCATTTAGATGAGCCCATATTTAGTACTGCATCATACAGTCCCATCTAGGGTGCATCAATGTACATAGACTAACAGTTGCAGTGCAAGTAGAGCTGCTATATGGACATAACTCAGTTTGTTGTAACTTGGGTAGATAACAGGGTCAAGAATCACATTAAAAATATAGTTGTTCCTGTAGTGTATGTCCTTGTCTGTACCAAATGTGACGTTTTGTACTTGAGAGGTGTCTGGATCCATTTTGTTCAAATTTGGTATATTCCTTAGATACTTGGAGACGTTAAGAGTGAGGAAGTTTTGAGTTCTGTTATTTCTTTGTTTATTAAAGGTCTTAGCTTGCAAGATTTCTCATCCAAAAAGGACTGAGAAAGTACCTGGCACATCTTGGACGCTTATTGAATACATTAAATAAATCAAACGTTTTATGGTAAAATTCCATTCCCCCACACCAAACAGATGTAGGTGCAAGTCAAAGACACTTGAAAAATTACACTAAGGTTGATTTTGCTCCAATTTTCCCCAAAGGAAAAAAAAAAATGGGAGAGGGTTGGGACAAAAACATGGAAAATTTCAGCTATCACAACAAACTGATAAATGAGAAATGGAGGAAAGGCAGAAGCCAAAACTGAACTCGAACTTTAGAGTGTGCAACTTGTGCGCTCTGATTTTGGCAGATTTCAGAATCAGAGACCTGGACCCGACATAACCGTTCTGATGAGCGCTACCCAGTAAGCGACGGTCCTCACCACGTGCCTGGCATCTTTTCTGCCCCTGTCCCTGCATTCGGGGCAGCCCCCCTGCCCCTTTCTGCCCAAGGAGACGTCCTGCTGCGCGGGCCCAGCCTCGCGCCGCGGTCGCTGCACCCCACGACTCCTAATCGACTCCTGACCCCTTCTCCCTTGGACCACCTGCGTGACTCTCCGTGTCGGGGCCCGGGCCACCAGCAGCGCCCCGGTCACAGCACCCTCCACTGCCCGTGTCACACTGACGGGGCTGGACACTGAGCAAACAGGGATCCTCTGTCAAGAAATAGCAGGTAACGCAGCCTGCAAAAAACAGATCTCCTTATCTGTGTGATCTGCAGTCTCCATTAACACTCGTGTGATCTTAGTTAAGGTGTTTAGTGTTTTATATGCGATTTTTATGGGTTCTTATCCCCATATGAGAGACACGGTTTAGAGAGACATGATAGGAACAGGAAAGGATAATTATAAATCTACGCAAGTCAAATCAGGCAAAGAAGAAACTGAAACCACTTCCAGTCTCTCTATCCAACAAATTCCACTCTCGTGGTCCCTGGCAGTACTTCACAGTAACTGAAGATGTTCACCTGCTCCCACAGCAATAAGAAACAAACAGGGAAGCAGGAACAAAGCGGCTCCCACCTAGAATGACCAACGTAATCCCCAGCAGCATATCACAGAGGGAAAACCTTCTCGGCATTAAAGCCGAGGCAAAACAAACACACATGCACTTGCACACACACAAGAGCTCGACTGCTGTGTGCTCCTCGCATCCTCCCCATTTTCTATAAGCATCTAATATCGAGAGATTGATATTCAGGCCAAAAGCTCACGCTGGCAGGAGAGGAAAGTACTTGGGAGAAGAGAGGGAAAGAAAGAAGAAAAAAAAAAAAAACCCTCTGGTTTCTTGGCTTGCGATCAGCAAGCTGGATGCATTCTGTGGAACTAGGCCAAAACGTTAGTTATTATATTCAAGAGAACATCTGAATCCCAGCTCAAGGGAGCCGAGTTTGCGGCTCTCATTTATGCTGTATATCAATTGAATATCAAACCACATTTTCCGCCTTCTGAATAATAAAGCTTAATAGTTTGGGACTCCCATATGGTCTATTGTTAAAATATTTCCAAACACTGGCTGCTGTTTTATTTCCAAAGGAAAGATTTCTTTGCCCTCTTTTTACTTGTTTAAAAGCAACTTGCAGCAAAAATTCAATATATTTTTCTTATAAACATATCCAAAGCTCTGAGAAGGACTGAAAAATGAAAGGACAAAAAAATGCAAATATATTTTGAAATTGGCTTTTTTTTTTTTTTATGTCACATGCAAATGTTTATTCCAGGCAGAAGCAGCTGGTGCCACCAGGCTCCACTGTTCAGAACAGGGGGTGCAGGAGCTTTCAGAAGCCCTGGGCTGCTCTAACAAAGAAGGACCACACAGACTCAAACCCGTCACAAAAGGACCCGGGCCGATTATTTGACTATTACTTACAGGGAAGCTTGGCCAGTAACGTAGGCAATAAATACTGGAGAAACCTGTTCTGTGCATAACCCAGGTTTGTCTTTTCACAAGTCCTTCTCTCTAATTAGGTCCTCACTCCTGGAGGGCATTGCTGATGGACTGTATCAATTTGGTATATTAAAAAAGAAGTTCGGAAATGTGTTAAATAATGAAAGCAACAGCCTAATAAACTCTCTTCAGTCTGTTACAAACAGTAACGAATGCTTCTGCTCAGTAGAATCAGAGAGGACTATTCCTTGTGTTCCTACATTTCGCAGAGAGATGATCCCAGGCGCACGGGCTGCAGCAGGACGAGGAGCGCGAGGGCCCGGGCCGGCCGCTCCGCTCCGTTAGCCCAGGAGGCTCCTCCGCTCGGGGAGCAGAAGTGAAACCGCCGCCCTGCCCAGCTCGGCACTTCCTACCCTTCCTACCCTCCTCGGCTTCGCATTGCTGCTTCCCCTCCCCTCACCTATCTGCCCCATCAGCACGTGCTCTGCTCCAGCGCACAACGCTTGGAGTCAGCTGTCTTAACCCTGAAACTGGTTGCTCATACTCATCAGCTGCCTCCTCACTGGGAAGGAAGAAATTCCAGTATTTCAACATTTGCTCTCATCCCGAATCGGGGAGAAAAACTGAAATTGGAGACTCTTTGCAGACGGAAGTTCATAAGTTTAAAAAAAAAAACTACTGATGAACATCAATGCATTTTGTCTCATTTGAAACGGAATATTCTGACATTGCCGAAACCAAAGTTGGTTCATTTTGGTTCGGTGACCTGACACGAGCAGTTTTGTTCTGAGTCAGTACACTCTTGAACTGCTCCTATTCCCACAACACTGACTCGCTTCAGCGACGCTGCAGCTCCGCAGCCCCGTTCTCACTTCTGGGTCGGTCTCTCCGGCGGGAGAGATTCCCATCGCGCTGGAGGCGTCCCAGGACACAGCTCGGTGCGGGGAGGCCGGGAACGCCTGGCAGAAGTGCAGGGCCATGAGGCACCCGGCAGAAGGAAGGGCCAGGCCAGAGCCCCGCGCTCAGAGCGGCAGCTGCGAATGCGCCGCAGCGCTTCGGACCAGCACGGGGCCCAGAAAAGCCGAGCAAAAAGATACTCCCATCCAAGCAGCCTGGACAGGTTAACATAGTGTTTCTGGTAAATAAAAAAAAAAAAAAAAAAAAAAAAAAAAAAAAAGTAAAACTGATTCATTAATTTTACAGGGGAAAAAAATGAAAAACTGGGTTTTTATAGAAAAGTGTCTATTAAAAAAAAAAATGTATTTTTTTCCTGAAAAAGCTCCTCCAAAGTAAAACTTAACCCAGGCTAAACTGACCACAACAGCACTGTACTAGAGGCATTCTTCAAAGTGTCTTTACAAGTAACTGCCAAACAAAGCTCAGCCTTGAAGAAATTTCCCCAACAGGGAACTTGAATCATGGCAGTATCAGCTCCCCTTTTCCCCTTCCGCAGCCCCTGCTGTGACCCAGGGAGTGCAGGACTGAGGTCAGAGCACAGCGTCAGGTTAGAGACACTGGACAAGACCCAAGTGGAGGTTCTGCAGCAGATTTCGGAGCGTTCCTCCTGGCTGAGCCCCAGCCGCGGCTCTCGCGAGCGCGGCAGGGCCGTGCGCTGATGCAGCCAGCGCGGCCGCGCGCCCTGCCCGGTGCTGCGGGTGACACCAGCCCGGGCTTGGCCAGCAGAGAAGACCCGATGGGAGGATTAGTTTATATTCACCAAAGGCTGTTTTACTAGTTTTCCTGTAGACTCTGCAATGCTGCCTTGTAGCGTGTGTTTCCACCCCGGGCTTGCTCAGAGAAGGTGGAGGGTAAGCACAGGTATGGTTTTGATTTCCTTTTGTTAAGAAGGAAAAGAAAAGAAAAACGAGACATTTATCCTGTAGTTTCCGTGTTGGAACTGTAGTAAACCTCTCTCTTTAAACCCCATAACCTCATGACTGTTTTATAGTTATAGGGAACCATAACCAGGGAGGGATCTAGCCTAGCAGTGATCTGCCCTGCAAGACGTTAACCTGTCACGTCTAATAGAAGGGAATAGGGAGACCAACCGTTTCGCGGGGAGGTTCAGACAGACGGCGCGTGGCTGCGCGGGGCGCCCACGACAAGCGCCCCTCTGCTCAGCAGCACCGGGACCGTGTGCGGGTCGGCGTGAAACATCTCTGTGCTTTAAACCTGGCCTGCTTTATGATCCTATCTCACTGCTCTTATGGCTGACTCATCGAAATGACTTTCCGCCCACTTTTTCACCCCCTTTACACCAGGAAGGTTGAGTCCTCATTTTGTTTGCAATTTTTACATCGTCTCAGAGAGATTCTTTACTTTGCAGGGGATCAGCATAAGATCATCACATGCTTTGCGCCAACATTTCAAAACTCGGTTTTCTCTCAGCATCTCAAATATAACTTATTTCATCTGAGCTTCTGGTAGTTTCTTTCTTACCCCATGGACACACCAGGTTAGTTCAGTTTGGTTTTTACCAAGCTCTTTACTTCTCTGTGCCTTATATAGGAAAGGAAGATGCCAGAGTTTATTCTCTCTCCTTCATTCTTCTTGTCCCAAAACTTAATTTCCAGCTTCACTTTTCTAGGCCGATCATTTG